GAAAAGCAGTGTAATGAAACTTGAAAAGAACACGAAATCAGCCAAGAACCTTGTGTAACAGCACCGTTTATGCCACTAGCTGGCAGTGATCTCAGAACCATGAAGGACCACTTTAAACCTCGATGTTTCCTGATGGGAAATGAAAAGATCTTACTCAACAGTCTGTATGGTCTCAAGGTCTATTCGGAATCTACGGCATTTGCCTCCGAGCTGTACAGAAGTGCCCGTGAGCAGGGAGGTGTGGAAGACAAGATTCACTGAGTTCACTCAACAAGTATTTGTTAAGTGTGCAGGACTTGTTCTTCCTGTGCCGGATGTGGTGGTGAGCAGGACAGAAACTGTCTTCACCGCCTGGGAGGATGACAGCAAAAATATTTTCACTTTTTTATTAACACAGTAACCTTCTTGTGGGTGATCATTTATTTTACCCCCTTTGTATGGCATTTTAATTTTTATTATGACACTGGTTCTCTAAATGGTAGTCACACATGGGCACCTTCTAGATGCTTTTATTAGTTCGCTAGGGCTGCGGAAACAAAATCCCAGGGACTGAGCGGTCCAGACGACAAAAATTTATTCTCTTACGGTTCTGAAGGCCACAAATCTGAGGTTAAGGGGCTGGCAGGGTTGGTTCCTTCTGAGTGCTGTGAGGGAGGATATGTTCCAGGCCTTCTCTTAGCTTCTGGTGGTTAGCTGGCAGTCTTTGGCTCTCCTTGGTTTGTGGAAGCATCACCCGATCTCTGCCTTCGTGTTCACACGGCATCCTCCCTGTGTATGAGTCTGTCTTCAAATTGATGCTTTTTGTAAGGACATCAGTCATACTGGATTAGGGCCTACTCTCCTCCAGGATGACTTCATCTGAACTAATTATGTGTGCAACGACCCTATTTCCATATAAGGTCACATTATGAGGTGGTGGGGGTTAGAACTTCAACATACAAATTTGGAGGACCCAATTCAGTCCATGGAGGCGCTGTTGCTAAGTGACTGCAAGGATGAGTTCCATCTTCTTTCTTGAAGTTTTGTTTTCTTCCTTAAGTTATTATTCTTTCTTATTTAGACCACACATTTTATTGTGATAGTAATGGAGGTTGGCTTTTTTGCATCTTTTCTCCTGGCGTTCTAGGAAAACAGCTCGAGTCTTGCATCTTGCTAGCTCCTGTGGTGTTTGCAAAGCTGAAGGCAGAGCTACCTGAAGACAACCACTCTGCCTCCTGTCTGATGCGGATGCTCCACCCATGGAAGAGATTCTTTGGGATGTCTAGGCTAGGAAAAAAAGAGAGGAGGCTTTTGAGGGGAGGGTGGCAGGCATGTGGACAAGGGAAGCTTTCCCAAGAAGCCCCGAGAGTGGCAGGCACTTGGCATTGCCCTTGGAGCGGGGGAACCTCTCAGGCTTCCTGGTCTACCTGGGGAGCTGTGCACCTGGATGAGAATCTGCACGCAGTCTGCTGGAAAGAGTTGGCAGGGCTTGGAGGAGACTGTCAGTGGACCTGGCGATGGGCTGAGGATGACAGGTTACATCCCACATCCTCGCACCGTGAAATCCCTCAGATTGCTGTGTGTTCCAAGGGAGAGAGTCAGAACAACAGTGACCTTTAATTGCCTGCTGCTCTCTAGAAATAAAGAATTGCATTTAAATTAATTTTAAAAATTAAAGAAATGTGAGTTTTCTGTACTTATAGAATGTGTGATTACAAATTCGTACAAACTCCGTTGTCTAAAAAGTTTTTATTTTAAGCCATGAGTATGAATCTTGAGCTTCTCTCAATTTTGTGTATAGAGGGGAAATTTCAGAATAGAATTCCATTTCTCCAGCCTCTGGACCATTTACAGCGGCACTAATTCTCTGGTCTGTTCACCGTCTTGCCCATAGTAGGTAATCAAAAAGATGCTTGTTCAATGAGTGAATGATGAGTCACAAATACTTAGGAACAAAGGGCATCTTTGAAAACAGACTTGGCATGACAACCCTCTGGGTGAAGTGGTTCAAAGCCATGACCTGTGTGTGGAGTTGGACTGAAAATCAAGCAGTGATGAGCTGAAATGACCTTGAGAGCCACAGGCAGCTTGTTGTTGGAGAGAACCAGGACGGCTGCTCCGAGGCAGAGCTCAGAGTGGATAATTGCACTCTGTTTATTGAGCACTTAGGCTGCCCAAGGCCCTGTGGGGATACACAGAAAAATGACTCCATTACTCTTCTACAGAATCTTAAGATCTAAAAATCAGACAGTAAACACCCAAAATATGAAGTGTGACAGACGCCGTGATTAACAGAAACAAACTAAACATTACACAAATTCAGGGATCCGGGGATACGGAGAGCAGTGATGGAGTGGGAAGATTTCATAGAGAAAAATCGCCTTTGAGATGCATTGTGTGGACTGCTGCAAATTGGATTATCAATGATCATGTCTTCTTTCCCCATCCCCCAACAACAATTGCATTAACAAAGACAAACAAACATGGGAATGAGGTCACACACATTGAGCACCTACAAGGCTTCAATTACACAGTTGGATAAGAGATCGGTTTTACCCCTCAATCTCCTCCCTGCCTGCCCCAGAGAGTCCTTCCCAGCTCCTCCAACTTGAATTCTGTTGCCCTGTGTACCATAGAAATGTCTGCATCTCACTGTGGACCAATTGAAAGCAGAGCACATGGAATCACTTCCATCCCCTGGGTACCATTCATTTAATCATCCGTTCATAAGCAGTATCACACCAGCACTGTCCTGGTACCACGGCCAGAGTAAAGGAGGGGCGCATACATTTTCCATGAAGCTCAGGCCTTTATGAAGAATCGTTTTCATCTTCTAGTGAGAGGTTGGAGTAACCAAACGTTAGGATTCTTCTCACTGGGCCTTCTTCTTGAATAGTGATGCTTCTGCAAAGAATTTGACAGAGACATCAGAAGGCAAATACTCATTCATATCTTTGAGGAGGGGAAATATTTGCCAGAATAACTTCTCTACGTAGATGAGACAGAATTATGCTTTTGAAAAAGATGTGTATGTAACAGAAGAAGACAAATTATGCAGAGTTGTGTCAAAGATAGTTAAGAATCTTGTAGTGTAATTGTTTCAGGGAAATGAGACAAACAATAGCTAAGGACCATGAAGTTCTTACTCTTTGTCAGTTATACTGATAATGCTTTATGCATAGTTGACTTATTTAATCCCTTCCGGGATCTCTATGACACACATACTCTTACCACCTGCATTTTTCCAGATGAGAAAATTAAAGCACAAAGAAGTTAAGTAACTTGCTTAAGGTCACAGGGCTGTTAGGTGATGGCATTAGAATTCAGAGCAGACAGTGTGGAGAGTATAGTGTTAAGGAAGAAAGATATTACTGTGGGTTTCCCCACAATTCTGGAGAAAGCTGTCTGTGCATTGAAGGAGGCATTCTTTCATAGACATGGATATGTTTTGTTCAGATATGCATGCCTGACAGACATCCAATTTAACACCTGTGTAACTTCTAGCTACGAGAGGGAGTGGCAAAGGTAAATCTCACAGGAATTCTACCTTCAAAGATCTTTGACTCTAACAAGCTAGAACTGCTAAGAGTAGGAAAGGAATTGCTGTGCCCCTATTTTGGGTGTCTTCTCCATCTCGCAAAGCAATCAGGTTGTGGGATGGAAAGACATTTCCTGTGACGCTGGCGTAGAAAGGCCCTGAGCCTTCACTGCAAGGTCCTCATACGACAGGGCATGGAGCTGAGGTTCTGGGAAGCCCAATGGCGAGCTGCTGTCTGTCTGGGCTGTGACAGAGTTGGCACTTGATCCCAGGCCCTGGTGCCCAGCCCGATGCTCTTAGTATCACCTAGCTAAGAAGGTTTGACAGGGTCACCCATTTCTTTCCTAGATTACTGATATTTCCCCCCCAGAGTGTTGGCATCAGGGGTCTGTCTTCCGGGCTGCCACCAGACAGGACCCTTGCTTTCGTTTGGGTGGCCAGAGGCTCCTCGAGGTCCTCTGGGGGACCAGGTGCTCCCCGGGCCTGCGCGGGCGGCGGGCGGCAGGGGGCGCTGTGTGCCGTGCCAGGGCGCTCGGGCCGAGCCGGGGCCCCGCGTCTTTGTGCCGCTCGCCGCCGCCCACTCTCCCCCCGCGGGCTGCGCGCCCCGGCTGGAGGGCGGGCGGGGAATAAAGGGCGGCTCCGAGCTGGACGCGGCGCGGGGCGGCGGGCGGCGGGCGGCGGGCGGCGGGCACCCGGGACGGACGGGCGGCAGCCACCGGGCACCGGGCACCCTACATCGCGCGGAGCGCCAGGAGCCCCGCCCGCGGCCGAGCGGGAGCGGCGGCCCCCGGAGCCCCGGCGCGCGGGACCAGGTGGGTGACGCGCGTCCTCTTTGTGTTGGCATCACGGGAGCGGGGCGCGGCCCAGGGGGACCGGGGATGTGGCCGTGCGGAGCCGGCCTTGGCTCGCCCCACGCCGGCCCAGCTGGGTCCCTGGCGCTCCGATCGGTGTGGGCCGGGGGTGGCTGGCGGGGTCCCCGGGTGGGGACCTGCCGGGTCCGTGCTGAGGGCGCCGCCCTGGCACTGCCCTGCCCCTCGGTGGCCCCAGAACTGCGGCCGGCCACTTGGGACCCTCGGCTCCCCAGCCGCCTCCCTGGCCCGGGCGCCCGTCTCCTGCGCTGCGTCCCTGGGCCCTGGTGGGCGGGCGAGGTGGCACACGGGGGCTTCTTTTGAGTGGGGTGCCGCCCGGAGGCCGCGGACGACGAAGTCTCGGGAAGGGGAACGACCGGGGCGCGGGGAGGCGGCGGGAAGGTCAGCCTGGCCGGAGTGGGCCGAGTGTCGTGGGTCCTGCGCTTTGCACATCAGGCGCCGGATGACCGCGGCCGCTGCCTTCCTCGCTGGGAGCCTTCCTCTCCTGAGGGACGTGCGGGGCAGTTCCCTGCGGGGCTCCCCACTCCACCCTCCAGCAGAGGCTCCCCACGTCCCCTGCACCATCCTGGGCGCCCAGCTCTGTTGGCTTGTGCAAACCTGGAGGCTCAGGGTCACGGGGAGGAAGAGGTTACTTGTACGCTAATGATCACCATAGGCAGGTCTCAGGATGGTCACTCCTAAAGTTCTGTCTTTTTCCCAGTAAATTTCTTTTTAAAAAAGCCCATTCAACAAATATCCCGTACTTGCCTTGTGCTGGGTGCAAGGCAGGGTAAGGAAGGAGAGCGAGATAAGGCCCCAGGAGAAGATCCCTAGTGGGTCCTGCTGCCCTGGTGGGAGGGGGATCTGGTCCCTTCACTAGAAAGAGACCCCAGTCTTGCTTTGAACAGTTATGGGAAGGAAGCGCTTTCCTGGGATTGGGGCCTGGGGATCTAGTAAGGACATGGTCCAGTGAATCTGGCCAGGGGCTGCCCTCGGAGATTAGGCTGCAGATAAGATGTGTTTAGAAGCAAAGGCAGAAAGGAGGGGGTGCAGATGCCTGTGGAGCTGTGGGAGTTCCAAGGAGGGGAAGGCAGGGAGAGGAGGCAGGGCTGCTTCATGAGGGGGAGTATTGAGTCAAAGCTTGAAGGGGGGCAGCTCCAAGGTGGTAGGAAGGGCCCCTGGCCAGAGGGAGCTGCCCAGCAAGAAGGAGGGTGGGAACACAAGGTCTGTGCTGGGAACTTTCCCACGGGCCTGCAGCCCAAATGCTCCTGTGATGTGTTCCCTCCCCCAGTACTGATAATAGGGACCTGGTTTCTTGCAGCTTTCTAGTGCCCTCTTAATTTTTGTTTTTATTATTTTTTAAAGAATGCAAAGGGATTATGACTGGAGAGGTCAGATGGGGACAAATCGTGAAATCTTTGAATTCCAGGCCAACTTTGGTCTTGATCCTGTGGCAGTGGGAGCCATTGATGGTTTCGGAAGAGAGTGAGTGAGCTGAGCCCTCCTTTAGAGCAATTAAGGCCGTATTGAGGGAAGGGGGAGTGTGCAGAGTGTGAGCTTTAGAATCAGAACCCCCACCTGCACCGCCTGTCAGTGGGTTAGGCATGGATCGAAGTCCTCATGAAAAAATGGGATGCAAATAACCTAATTTTACTGGCATGCAAAATTTCCAGATTCAGCACAGTTGAAGTTTGCAAGTTCATGTGTTTCAAGGGGCCCTGATTCTAGTGTCAGCACCCTGGAAAAGGAACTAATGAAGGGCAGATTCAAATGCTGGAGGCAGAGCTGCAGCTGGTGAATGAATGATGTGGGCGCCCACAGGCGATGCACCTATGGGGGTACTGAAAACCGGAAGAGCGCTTTCAAGTTCATACCTTTTATAAACATATCCAGCACCCTCGTTTTGTTGGTGTGTAATCCCTGCATCCAGATCTTCACTAGCCTAAGGTGTTTCTCTTGTGGACTGAATGTGGTTTGGGACTTGGAAGCGACCACACACGTTGTTCAGTTGAAGCTGCTGACGTCCAGCGGGTGAACGTGCCACTCAGCCAGACAGCGGCAGGGCCAGACGCTGGGAGCCACGTCGTCTGTTTTTTCCACTGTGGTTCATAGTTTGGCCGTGCCGCTTTCTTTTGTTCAAATTTCTCCTCCTCTTGGGAGCCTTTCTCTCTGGTGGTAGAGATAGGGGGAGACTTGTCCTCGTAGATTGGGAATCACAGAACTATCAGAGATTGCCAGCTCAGCCCTGTCACTGTGACCTTGAGGACACTGTGGCCCCCAAGAGGAAAAGTCAGGGACCCTGGCCACACCGAGAGCTGTTCTCCCAACTGTCTGCTCTTTTTTCTCCTCTGTACTTGAGCTAGGGGCATGGAGATGCCTCGGCTGGCTTGGTGGTTTGGTGGTCTGGAGCCACTCCAGATGGTGTTGAGCCCTCAGACCCTTCAGGGAATCTGGCCAAGGAGGGCTCCCCCAGTTCCTGGGGTGCAGGAGATCAGAGGCAGCCAAGAGGCTGCGAAGAGCATAGAATGTTTCTAAGGCAGATGAAGCCTCTCCTTAGGCACTCTGGGTACCTTCCGACCTTGGAGATCCAAGAACCAGGGTGAAGGTGCCTTTCTTTAAGACTAAAAAGGTCTTTTGAGGTAATCATTTCCAAAAGCAGACTCCTCTGTCTTGTTTCTGCATTACTGACACAAATGAATATCTTTTCTTAATTAGATGAAGAAATTAAGTTGAAGCAACTGTTCCGATACCTGCCTGGGATTAGGGCTGAAGGACAGAGCTTGTGTACAACTTTCTCACTCAGCTGTGTGACCTTGGACAAGTGTCTTAACCTCCCTGGATGCAATGCTATAGAGAAAAATAAGTTCATGGAGAGCATGCTGAAGTGTGTCAACCAATACCTATAGTCTCCTAGAATTTGGCACCAGAGAGAGAGGAAACAGTAGTTAATATTCATTAGCGTTTCCCATCACCAAGTGCTGGTAGGAAGTGCTGTGCATGGCTGTGGATCCAGGTCTCCCACAGCCCCACAGGACAGGTGTTGCTGCTGTCTCCAACTTACAAAGGAGAGAGGTGGAGCAAAGAGCAGCTGTGTCGTCCAAGGCCACGCACATGGTAGAGGTGGAAGCCTGGTGTTCAACCCAGAGTCCTGCAGGAAAGGTACATTCTGTGCCCTTCAGGGGGCTGTGGTCTCAGGGGTGGACGCCACACACTGACAGATTGTTCTAACAGTGGGGTCGGTGTGCCGAGTGCCGTGGGGCGTGGGAGGGGCACCTCATTTCTGCCCATGTGGGGAGGAGTGCGACCAGAGCTGGTGATGCTGGGCCAGTACTTAAAGGATGAGTCCAAGTTAGCCAGGATAATTGGAGGGTCAAGGTCAGATTCTGGGCCTGGGAACAGCAAGAAACAGCCTGGGTGGGCAGGGAACTTAGAGCCAGCGCAGCAACGCTGAGCCAGCAGCAGGCTCTGCCCCGGGCATGTCGGAGGGTGGGCCGGCTGTCTCTGAAAGTGAGGTTTTCACTGTTTGGTTTTGGAGCCTCTGTCCCTGTGAGTAGTCCCTCAGTCCCCGTCCCACCCCTAAGTCTGCTGGGTAGAGGGGAGAGGGTTCCGGGAGCGCGCGGGAGCCATGGGAAGCAACCACCGTTTTTACAATCGGGGAGCCTGTCTCTGTCTTTGAGTCACCTGAGCTAGGCTGGGGCAGTTCCCCAGCGATAGCAGCAGGCAGCCTGCAGGTGACAACCTTCGAGCTGGAAGGGAGCCCAAGGGAGGGGAGTGGTGTTGCAGGCTCCACCGACTTCTGCTCCTGCCAGCCCAGCTCCGTGGGCAGGAACCAGGCACAGATCCAGGGGAGCAAAGAGGGGGCTTCGACATGCAGAACGTGGGTATTGATGGTGCTCTCAGTCGGGCTGTTGGTTAAACAGGGTTTGGGTCTGTCGGCAGAATGCCTCTTACATCATGGTTTTCCTGGGACACTTTTTGGCTTCCAAAGGCGGGTCTTTGTGGCACAGGGCATGTTGGATGTTGGGGGCGGCAGCATTTTAAGGTTATCTACAGGGAGGCGGAGCTGTGCCGATGACCCTGGCAACAAGAAGAGCATCCCTCCCAGACTTCCGGGGACCTCCTGTTCCCCTGCACACAGTGAGGGAGCCTTCCCTCTGCTCTGGCTCTGCACCCAGGACATGTTAACTGGCCAGCGGCGGGGCCGTGTCTGACCCTCCCTGTTCACCCTCAGTCTCTGGCTCGTTTTGCAGGCTCTCCCCTAGTCCAGAATGGCACCACTTGCCCTCCCCTGCCGCCCCCTCCCTGCATCCCCTGCAGGAAGGGCAGCCTGCTGGGCAGAGAGGCTGTCACTCTCCCTCAGCTTGTGGGTGGGAAGGGTCCCCTTCACAGAAATGTGCAGACGTCCTCGTTAGGTGACCTCTTCTTCCTCAAGGGGAAACCTTCTCTTGAGTAGGTGTCCTGAAGCCGGAATCAGAGCAGGTGTTGTTGGACTTTCCTGGGATGCTTTGCCGTGATCCCAGGGCCGTCCCTCCTCATTCTCTCTGCTGACCTCTTGTCACTTCCCCGCTGAGACACCGTGGCCTGTGAAGTCACGAATGTGCCCCTGGGTTGATTTCCAGATTCTTCACCATTTGGTTCCAGCCTGTCTTTCCAGTGCTGATCTCTCCACAGCCTCAGCCCTTGTGCCCTAGAATGTTCTCTCCCTCCGTCTCCATATGCCAGATTCCTCGTGACCCTTCCAGGCTCAGCAGGCACGTTGCCTTTTTCTTAAAGCTATAGGATTGTTAGTGTGGGGACTGTGGGGGGTGCTCATCTAGCACTGGCGTCTTAACAATGAGAAACTGGAGGCGTGTGGAGCACGAAGGGCAGACTGTAGGCCTGCGGCTCAAGCACGCCCCATCCCTTCCAGGCTCCTGCTCTCTCTCTCTCCCGCCTGCAGGTGGAAACGTCCTCTCTCCCAGGTGCTTCCATAGCAACTTTTTTCCAAAACCTATATTTGCGCTTAAAACCCTCTAATCTAATTTTAGTGATTTGTATGACTGTCATATTTCATCTACTACATTATAAGTGCCACACGGGCAGGAACTTACTCACGTTAGCATTCCCTCACTGCCTTATCATGCTCTTTCTAAATGCATTTTGTTAAATGATTGAATACGAGATAATCTGCCCACGGTGTCAGGAGGGAAACTGTGGGCAGATTATCGATGAGGAAATGGGATTTGAGTTTACCTTCTGTACTCCAGCAAGATCTGAGCAAATCCCGAGATATGGGTCTCTCTTTGGGAGGTCAGGCCACAGAGCAGTATACCACAGGACTATAAGAGGCTGAATGCCCCGTGGGTGGGGATGCTCCTTGGGTCGGAGGATGAAGGCTGGAGCCGCAGCCTGGCGGCGTGGGATGCAGGGAGGAAGGCCTTGACAGTCCTGGGTCCTGTGATTGTGCCGACAGCAGATAGCGCCAGTTCCAGTGGCACAGACGGCGAGACTTGTATGGGCTGGCTGGCGGTGGTCCTGTAGCTGGGGGCACTCTGGAGCAGGGGAGAATGAGGCAGGAGAAATGGGCGTTACCCTGCAGTGCTCATAGTCCAGCAAGGGAGCCGTGATGAGGGGACAGTGACGCATAAAGGCCAAAGTGTGCTCATCCAAGTGTGTGTTATGGGAATGCTGGTGGAGTTGATGGAAGTGACTGATGGGAACAGGAGTGAATGTGGGTAGCCTTTGCAGAAGATTGGAGAGCAGAGAAGAGGGTGCTCCCTGCTGGGGTGGAAGAGGGCCAAAGATTTGGGACCAAGAAGGGTTTGTTCTTGAGAACGTTGGGTTGGGGCTGGTGGTCGGGCCCATGGGCAAGGGAAGGAGGTGGGGCTCCCTCAGCCTTAGGAGCTTAGATCTTTCTAATGAAAGATTGGGGTGCTCTAGGTAAAGAGGTGGTCAGAGTTCCTAGAAAGGCTGTTTGCCAGGTAAATGCAATATGGGCCATCGATTCACATGGCTGTTTTTCTATGGGAGTTGAAGAGCAGCAACTGCAAAGGAGGCTATAAAGTGTGTGCACAATAATTCATGGCATTTGGTGTATTCTGTCTTTGTGGAATCCATGTCTTGAGTGACTTATCTTCTCTTTTGGTCTCTGGTGCAAGTTTGCACTCAGAAGCCTCATGCAGAGTGCGTGTTCCAGGATAACTTTGCCTCAGGGAGTGTGAAGGCTTGTGGAGACCCTGTGAGGCGGCCATTTGCTAGGCGATTGAGAACATAAAGAAACAAACAGTACCATAAATTAATTTTTCCTGACTGCCTGGACTGCCACACAGCACTTCTTGGTAGCACATGCACTGGTGCATAGTAGCCCTAGGACAATGGGGTAGAAAGAGCTTCCAGAAGACTTTTGGAGCTGGCACCTCCGGACCTGAATTTGTTGGCTGAAACTGTGTGTGTTTCTTCCTCATCCCTTGGCAGGGGCGAGGCAGGCCCAGGCCCTGTGTGGAAAATACAGAGCTCGCTGTCTGCTGAGGCCACAGTTGCTTCTTTCTTCTTTATGTCTCAATGGGGCGTCAGCCACGGGCCCTGAAAACTGGTGCAGTCTGGTTGGGAGAGGCCAGCAGAGTGGTGGATGGGGCCGGATGTGTTAGAAAAAAGAAGTAAGGAGGTGTTTTTATTCCATCAGCTCCTGGGACCCTAAGGAACGGCCTCTGTGTCAGCATATATTCTCCCCTCCTCCCCATCTGCTGTCTTCACAGCTTGCCTGCTGTCCTCATGCATAGAAGCTATGCTGCAGATTCAGTGATGTGTCCCCCAGATGCATATGTTGAAACGTAATCCCCTAAGAGATGGTATTAGGAGGTGGGGCCTTTGGGAGCTGACTAGGTCACAAAGATGGAGCCCTCATGAATGAGATTAGTGCCCTTTTTTTAAAATGAAATAAAATCCCAGAAAGCTCTCTTGCGCCTTCTGTCATGTGAGGACACAGTGAAAAGATGGCCATCTGTGAACCAGGAAGCGGGCTCTCACCAGACACTGAATCTGCCAGCACCTTGATCTTGGACTTCCAGCTCCAGACCTGTGAGAAATAAATGTTTGTTGTTTATAAGCCATCCATTCTATGGTATCTTGCTATAATTCTATGAATGGACTAAGACAGGCAAAATGGCTAGTCACCAGTCATACTGGAGTGGGGCCCACTCTATCAATCTTAACTTGAGCATCTGCAAAGACCCTAACAAGGTCACATTCACAAATACTGGGGGTCACACAATTCAACCCATAACATATATCTGCCAGTGGCAGGTAGTACCTGTTTGTGCATGTTTGTCTGTCACTGTGTGTTTGGCCAGCAATAGAACACTTACTAACAGGGCCTTACACAGATGGGTGTCTGCGTCCCAGAGAGAAGGCAGGGGATGGGGGTGCGTGCCTCACTGGTGCAGCTGCTCGGGGGTGTTTCCGGGAACTCAGGTCCTCTTGTTGCTCTGTATCCTTTGCCCTCACACTGCGCTGGGGTCCAGATGGCTCTCCACAGCTGCTGGCTCACATCTGTGTTTAAGGTAGCAGAAGAGGTGGGGGGAGATGCTGTCAACTACATCTGTCCCTTATTATCAGGAAAGAACAAGCTTTTCCTAAAGCACTGCAGCTGCCTCTGTTCGTGTCCTGTTGTCTGGAGCTGGGCTGCATGGCCGCACCCAGGAATGAGAGAAGCTGAGAAGGTGAGAGCCTGCAAGAGCTGGGAGGGGTGTCCTCAAGGGGCCTGGACAAAACAGAGCATGAAGACCCGCCCAGTTTGGTGCATGGCCAGGCTCAGGTTTAGTAAATGGTCTTTCCTTCTCTCACCTGCTCTTGTTGGAAAGGCAGGAATCCCTAGGGAAGAGGTCCAGACCAGTGTGCATGTGGCTTACCTGTTCTCATTGTTGTGCCGAGGTGGTGTCCACACACGCCTGCCTTCCGTGAACATTTGTAACTGTGGCTGCATGATGGCCAGGAAGCCACAAACCTGTCTTGTTCATTTCTGTGTCCCTCTGGCCCCTGGCTCAGAGTAGGTGCTCGATAAATCTTTGTCGAACTTCATAGGCATCTTTTCCCTTCAAAGACATTCGAGTCCAGAAATGGCCTCATCCATTCATCCTTTCTCTTGTTCATTTGTCCATTCATTTGGCAAAACCTCCTTGGTGCTGACGGTTCAAAGGTAGATTAAGGAATATACAGGGAGGGTGAGGACACGGAGAGTGGGAAGGAAGAGGGGTGGTGAGGCATTTCTACAACAAAACAGGGTGTGGCATTCTGTAATCAACAGGACAGGTATTAATCTCTTAAACTTTTGGAATTTTATAAATTCCAGTTCCACTCTAGTAAAAACAACCAGCTGGGACACATAGGAATCTCTTTTCATCCAGCAGTGCGGCTTACTCTCCAATTCTCCTACTTGTGAAATAGTTCAGAATTTAAAGTACATGGTTTTTAATATGCTGAGTAAATATTTGCTGAGCCCCCACCCTGAGCCAGGCACCGGGCTGTGGAATGTGCAGACGTGAAGACCTCTCAGAAGGTAATGTTTCCAG